GTCTTCATGGAGAAGATATCTTAGATGAAGCTCTAGCTTTCACTACCTCTCACCTTGAATCAATGGCAACAAAAGTAAGCCCTCTACTTGCTGAACAAATAGCCCATGCTCTAAACCGCCCCATCCGAAAAGGCTTACCAAGAATTGAAGCAAGGCATTACATCTCTTTGTACTCTAGAGAAACCCATTTTGCTTCCTCTAATGCAGCACTACTTAGATTTGCAAAAATAGATTTCAACATGGTACAAGCATTGCATCAAAAAGAACTCAGTGGAATTACAGAGTAAGTTCGATTTTTTTTTCCTTCTTTAGAAAACTTCTAATGATGTTGATTTATTATCTAAGACTTTGAATTTGGCTCAGTTTTTAGGTGGTGGAAAAACTTGGATTTTTCAACAAAGCTACCATATGCAAGGGATAGAGTTGTGGAGTGCTATTTTTGGATAATGGGAGTTTACTTTGAACCCAAATACTCCCTTGCAAGGACATTTCTAACTAAAGTAATAACCATGGTATCCGTTTTGGATGATACATATGACAACTATGGGACCAATAAAGAGCTTGAGCTTTTGACCAAGTGTATTGAAAGGTAAAATTTGACCATTACACTTGATCTTTTTTTTTTTTTCAATTTATTGACATATATTCATATATTTCAAAATTAGTATTCATAACTTTGATTCTATAATCTTTAGGTGGAACATTGATGTTATAAATCAACTTCCAGAGTATATGAAATTGGTTTATCAGGCATTGTTAAATGTTTATAGTGAGATGGAGGCAAAGGTTGCAAAAGAAGGAATATCATATGCTATAGATTATGCAAAAGAGTCGGTAAGTAACTAATTAGCATATTAATGATTTAATTCATGTTTTGGGGATTTTGGATTATATGTTATTTTCATGTGCATAACTTAATTTTATGAATAGTTGAACAAAACAATGAAAGCTTTCCTTAATGAAGCCAAGTGGCGCCAAGAAGACTATGTTCCACCTATAGAGGAGTATATGCAGGTTGCCCTCATTTCCTGTGCTTATCCAATGCTCATAACAAATTCCTATGTTGCCAAGGGAGAAGTTGCAACCAAGGAGGCCTTTGATTGGATCTCTAATGACCCTAAAATACTTAAAGCTTGCACAATTATCTGTAGACTCATGGATGATATTTCCTCACAGGAGGTATGCACAATGCTTGGTTCTTATTAATTGCAAATTCGAATTATGGGGTTAGTTAGCTTTGGTACTTGTTTAAACACTGGCGGGAGTTAACTAATTTCTTTTCCAACCAAATGCAGTTTGAGCAAACACGAGATCATGTTGCATCAGGTGTTGAATGCTATATGAAGCAATATGGTGTTTCAAAGGAAGAGACCGTGAAGTTGTTTCAGGAAGATGTTGCAAATGCTTGGAAAGATATTAACGAAGGGCTCATGAAACCAGCAATCTTTCCTATGCCTATACTCACTGTGGTTCTAAATTTTGCTCGTGTGATAGATTTCCTATATAAGGACGGCGACAACTATACAGATTCTCACACTTTGAAGGCCCATATTGAATTGTTGCTGGTGGATCCTGTTATTCTGTGAAGAAGTATTGATCCCTAGAACTCCATTTAAATAATTCTATGGTCTGTTATATAGCTTGAGGGTAATGTGTGGGATTGTTTTATATTTGTTTTGTAATGTGTGGGACTGTTCGTAATATGTTTCATTTATTAAAAGTTTGCTAATTACTAAAAATGCCTCAATGAAAATATTTGTTTATAACAATTATATATTATTAAATAAATGACAACAAATCTTTTTATATATCTTGTTAATTTATATAATCATTATCAACAAATGTCAATTCATTATCAATGGGTGAAAAGAATTAATAAAATTATTACTATAAGGTTATGTTATTATTATTATTATTTTCTGAAAAAGTTATAACCTTTTAGGAAGAATGGATTCAATGTCAAACTAAAAGCCAATGGATGCACCATTTAATATGATTTGTAATGATTTAGCCTATAAAGTTAGATGCATAAGGTTGCGTTATCAATTTGTCAATT